AGGGTGACTGGTATCAGGGGCTCCTTTGCATATTAGGCCACACACCCCTAGTGTAGCCAATCCTCCAAGAGCTTACAGAGCTCTTCTTACTGGGGCTACTGTAAGCTCTTGGAGGATTGGCTACACTAGGGGTGTGTGGCCTAATATGTAAAGGAGCTCCTGCTACCAGTAGAGCCCTATTAACCCCACCTTTTACTCGGAGTCGCAGAGCGGCTTAGGGCTCAGAGCTCTTTTCCCTTCCCGTCCCCACAACAGACACCCTGTACGCAGTGTTCCCTCTAAGCTGAGTAAGTGTGAGCCAGCTCACAGTTTTTTTGCCTCCGGCTCACACATTTATTTGTCTTAGCTCAGGAAGGCTGGCTCCAGAGCCAATTAATTTAGGCAGCAGCCAGATTGCTGACTCACAGCTTTAATGCCAGTCACTCACAAAGCAGGATTGTTGCTCACAAGACTCCACAGCCTAGAGGGAGCATTGCCTGTGAGGTAGGCGGGGCTGAGAGAGCTTTTTCAAGGACTGCTCTTTGAAGAACAGCTCTGACAAAACTGTGGCTTGCCCCAGGTCATCCAGCAGCTGCGTGTGGAGGAGTGGGGAATCAAACCCGGTTCTCCCAAATTAGAGTCTGTGCTCCTAACCGCTACACCAAACTGGCTCTCAGCAGGTAAAGCTTTCCACCTCACTGCATCTGCATGCGCGGACAAACTGCACCTGCAGAAACTTTACTTGTCGTTGAGCTTTTAAAGGCATGGAAGCCCTGCCAGAAGACAACATGTGGCAATGCTACTGTTATGTTTTGGGACTGAAACACTGCAGGACTGTGCTGCCAGAGACCGGGTGAGCTTGGAGCCGAATACCAATAGACCAACAGGATTCTGGCAGGAACCAATCAAGGTGTAGGACTGTGCTGCCAGAGACTGGGTGAGCTTGGAGCCGAATAACAATAGACCAACAGGATTCTGGCAGGAACCAATCAAGGTGTAGGACTGTGCTGCCAGAGACCGGGTGAGCTTGGAGCCGAATAATAATAGACCAACAGTATTCTGGCAGGAACCAATCAAGGTGTAGGACTGTGCTGCCCGAGGGAGGGTGAGCTTGGGGCCGAATAACAATAGACCAACAGTATTCTGGCAGTAACCAATCAAGGTGTAGGACGGTGCTGCCAGAGGCAGGATGAGCTTGGAGCCGAATAACAATAGACCAACAGGATTCTGGCAGGAACCAATCAAGGTGTAGGACTGTGCTGCCAGAGACCGGGTGAGCTTGGAGCCGAATAACAATAGACCAACAGGATTCTGGCAGGAACCAATCGAGGTGTAGGACTGTGCTGCCAGAGACAGGGTGAGCTTGGAGCCGAATAACAATAGACCAACAGGATTCTGGCAGCAACCAATCAAGGTGTAGGACTGTGCTGCCAGAGACAGGGTGAGCTTGGAGCCGAATAACAATAGACCAACAGGATTCTGGCAGGAACCAATTAAGACATAAAGTTTTGTAAGTAGCCTATCGTTGGGAGTGGGGTGTGTTGGGGATGTGGCTATTGCAGGCAATATAACCGAGCTGAGGCTCCAGTCTGCAGCCTTGTTCTGGCTGATATCACTGAATAAAGTAGAGCTGATCACTAGACTGGGAGTCTGTTAATCCATGGAACCCACTATTTAACAGTGGCGATGAACGCATGAGCATGATGTAGCCCCCAGTTACCCAAAGCAACCTTTGTTGATCTTAAAAGGGCCACTGGACCCTCACTTTGTTCTCCTGCTCCAGGACCAACATGGCTGACCACCTGCCACCAAAAGTGTTCTTTCGAACGGCCTAAACTGGAACCGCCCATATATCATCCTGCGTTGCCCCGCCGCCAAGGCTTCATTTACAGAAATGCGGCTTGATCGTTTACTGCTCGTCAGCAGTGGAGATTGATCCGCTTCTAGGAACCCGTCTGGATTTTGTCAATTTCTTTTTGAGCCCAGGCATAAATTTCTAATGGGCGTATTAGCAAAAGGGCCATTATGGATTGTGGCAAAGGGGAGAGACCGGCGTATCACCCACAGGCAGCAGGAACCTGTTGCTACTTGCAAGAAAAGCAGATCCCGCACGGTGGAAGGAAAGCAGAAGACTGCACGGTGTGAGCCTTCAGGCTGAGCCAGGTCACTGCAGATGCTCCACCCCTTCCCTCACACCATGTTTACCTAGCACTATTCTTTCCCATCACCAGCATCACACAGGTGGGAGGTTGTTGCTGGGTCTCCCCATGCGAGGGCACATCTATCCTCTGCTAAAAGCTCTGCACTGGCTGCCTGTAGCATACTGAATTCAGTTCAAGGTGCTGGTTCTTACCTTTAAAGCCCTATATGGTCAGGGACCTACATACCTAAGGGACTGCCTTACCCCACATGTTCCCCGGAGAGCACTACGATCGGGATCCCAAAATCGCCTGGCTCTGCCTGGCCCCAGAGAAGCCAGGCTGGCTGTGATGAAAGCCAGGGCCTTTTCAGTGGCGGCTCAACACTGGTGGAATGAGCTCCCAAATGACATCAGGGCCCATTTGCAGTTCCGCTGGGCCTGCAAGAGAGAGCTCTTCTACCAGGCCTTTGATTAAGGAGCTGCACTATACAACGGAGGCCCTGGCCCCAATATTCACACCATCATCAACCATCGATATTAACATCGTTATAAACAGCCGGATATAACCCAGACTATGCTAGCAGCTGACTGCTTGTACTGTTGGATATAGGGTTGCCAAGTTGAAAAATCTCCTTACCGGGGGATTCCCGGTCTATGGCTTGAGCGCGCGCGCGCAAAGCACCACACGCACATCACCAGGAAGTGACGTTATGACGCCGAGCACACTGGGGGCGGGGCCACGACCATCTGAGGGAATGCCATAGAGTTTTCCCTCGGATGACCGTGGCCCCGCCCCCAGCGTGCCCGGCGTCATAATGTCACTTCCTGGTGACATGCATGCCGGGGTGGGGTTCCCCCCGGGGCCCGATACACCACCGGCGGGGAACGGGCTTTTGGGGCGGGGGTTTCCCCGCCCTCCGGGGGGACTTGGCAAGCCTAGTTGGATACCGCTCACGCACGCCATCACACATGACTCATCCCGGCACTAGCACTTTGTACGTTTTATGTTGTATGTGTATATTGTCATGATTGTAGTTAAATCTGTTTTAGTTGCGCAGTATCCTATGTAAGCTGCCCTGAACCTGCTTTGGCGGGGAGGGCGGGGTAAAAATTAAATCAATTAAATAAATAAGAAATAAAACTCAACAGGAGAAAAGCAGGTGTGGAATCACAGCAGTGATGAAGAGGGAAGGGTTAAAAAAACACACACCACACACAGTGCCCATTGCTTCCTTCTCCCCAAACTGTACCTTCCCTTGCATTTATATAGTTCTAGTTAGAGCATTTAGATACTACAGTGAGATTAACAATGGAACAACTCCGTGTGGTTTTTCCAATTTTTTTTTTAAAAGATCACATAAAACACAGTTTTAAAAAGCCCAAAAGTAACCAATAGTCGAATTCTTGGATAATTTCATATGAAGGCATATTACTGCCAATGTTCCCTCTAAGCTGAGTTAGTGTGAGCTATCTCACAATTTTTTAGCCTCCGGCTCACATGTTTTTGTCTTAGCTCAGGAAGGGATGGCTCCAGAGCAAGCTAATTGATGCAGCAGCCAAATTGCCCACGTACACCTTTAATGCCAGTAGCTCACAAAGTAGAATTTTTGCTCACAAGACTCCGCAGCTTAGAGGGAACATTGATTACTGCCCGTGTGCAGGAGAAGGAGATGGTGAGGGAAAGGGATAGGGTTGAGAGTGGGGAAGGAGAGACAGAGAGCAAGAAGCCAGGATCGTGATTTTCCTGTGGGCGATTCTGCAACTAGCATTCCCTCCACATTTTCTCAACTGGGAGGAAAAGGTGCAGGTCAAAGCCACATTCAGATACCTCGGGGCAACGCCGCACTGACTGCAAAGGCACCCCTGAACGGCCACAAATCTATGCAGAAGGCACCATAAAAACCCGATGATCAACGAAAGCGAAAGTGGCGTGCAGTGTAGAGGGTCCCATAAAACCCGATGATCAAAGAAAGCAAAAGTTGCATGCAGTGTAGAGGGTCCCATAAAAACCCGATGAGCAAAGAAAGCGAAAGCGGCGTGCAATGCAGAGGGGGGGATTTCTGTCCCAACGTGCGTTTTGTAAAACGATGGAGGGAAAAGGCGATGCAGAATCGCCCCATCTCCGCATCTATGAGGACATGACCACAGAGGGGTGTGCAGATAGGACAGCAGTGCTTTCAGATGATGAGGCTGTCACTCATAAACTAGTCTTCCCCTTATCTCTTTAACAGAAGCCCAACTCGATGAGGATTAAAAGAAGGGAGGCGTTTCACCTGTATCATTTGTGCATGCTCTGAAAGGCACCAAAGGAGGGGCAGGTAAAGAAAAAGAAAACTAAAACCGTGTTCGTTTACCCCCATCAGTTCGCCAGCAGTCAACGAGGACCAACGAGCAGCTGTTATCGGGGATGCATTGAAGTAATTGGAGTTGGCTCATTATCTTACCGACACAAATCTGAACCAGATAAGCAGTGTTCCCCAGAAATATGACAATCTCCCCAATATGCACGAATCCCACCTCTACCATCTGTTTTTAAAAGATCCTTCCCCCCGCCTTCCCCCAGTGACCTAATTTCAAGACATTAAGCATTTGTAGTTTATCCCCATTCACATCCTTAAACCAAGAAGGAACCTTTGCCACTCGGAAAGTAAGAGGAAGATGAGGGGGGAATCCACAGCCTTTCCTCTGCCCGCTCCGCCATCTTTTTTAAAAAAAAGAGCACAGGTAAAACGCCAGACTGAACCTTGTGATCACTGTAGTACGGGTCAATGTCCTCCAGGGGTTCCCCAACGAGCTCCGATGGAGGAGACCCGTAGATATCGGGGAGCTTCTTGCCGGCCTGCAAGTCAAACTGGGGCCGAGGCTTTTCTTCATCGGCCACCTGCTCCCTGTATTCCTGCTTGGCGTTCCTGGCGATCTTCTCCTCGATTCGCTTCTTGATCGCAGCCAAGGATTCGGGCGTGAACCGGTGGAAGCTGTTGGAACCCAGTGGTAACAAGAAGTCGGCCATCTTTTCATCCTGATTCTCCTTTGTACTGGCCTTTATTCCTAATAGTAAAAAACAACTGTAAAGACACAAAGAGAGGGGGGAAATATCAGCATCTAAACAGGGAAGGCAAATGAGTGTTAAGCACTAAGCGACAAGTCACAACGAGTCAGGGCAGTGGCCTTAAATCCACTTGGGAAGCCCGCAAGTTAAGTCGAGGGAATGCTGGCTTCAGCTAAATTAACCACCTGTTTTCCAAAGCACTGTGCAGATGTCTCTAATGGCTTGGAGGTAATAAGGAATTCCGTGCCCCACCCCAGAATTGCTGCACTGCATATGGATAGGACTGCCAATGAATTTCATATCCGTGGCCTTAAATCCACTTGGGAAGCCCGCAAGTTAAGTCGAGGGAATGCTGGCTTCAGCTAAATTAACCACCTGTTTTCCAAAGCACTGTGCAGATGTCTCTAATGGCTTGGAGGTAATAAGGAATTCCGTGCCCCACCCCAGAATTGCTGCATGGCATATGGATAGGACTGCCAATGAATTTCAGATCATTTTCATATAAAGCAATTTCGTATAAAGAAAACGTATACAAGATGTTTTATAGATAGTTCATTACGCCTGACAACTTGGCTAAGTTTGACCCAAAATGTTCAACTGATTCTTGGAAATGTCAAACTAAGGTTGGTTCCTTTTATCATATGTGGTGGCTGTGTGATAAAGCAAAAAAATAATAATACTGGGCATGATTCATAAAATACTACAAAAAAATCTGAAATGTTCTGTACCCTCTGTTCCTGAAAAGTTTGTGTTAAATATTATACCTGAGAAATGTAACAAAAATGATTCATATCTCATTTTGTACATAAATCAGGGCTCTTTTTGTAGAAAAAGCCCAGCAGGAACTTATTAGCATAATAGGCAGGGGTCATTTGGGGGGGGACGCGGGGGGACGCCATCCCCCCGGGTGAGGTGTGGGAGGGCGGGGCCTGGAGCTCCCTGCTGGTGCCCGCTGGAGGTCGCCACCGGCTGTGGGGAGGACACACTTCCGGTGATGTCAGGGGGTGTGGCATATGCTAATGAGTTATGCTAATGAGTCCCCCTAGATCTTTTTCTACGAAATGACCCCTGATAATAGGCCACACCCAACCCCAGAAACTTATGAGCATATTGGGCCACACCCCTGACAGCACAGCTCATTAGCACATTAGGAGGCACCCCCATGTTACCAGAAGTGTAGTTATCCAGCCACACCCACCTTTTGCTTGCTATTCTGTTTACCTTGTTTGTTGTCAAAACCCAGGGCTTTTTTGTAGCAGGAACTCCTTTGCATGTTAGGCCACACACCCCTAATGAAGCCAATTCTAATGGATTTCTGCTGTTGGGTGTGGCCTATTATGCTAATGAGTTCCTGCTGGGTGTGGCCAACTTGGGAGCCAGCTGGAACTCCATTCCTGTGCGTTCCTGCCCAAAAATAGCCCTGATCATAACTACAACTGCTGGAATACTATACGCCAAATATAGGAGAAGAACTGAAACACCCTTGAAAAAAGAAATTTTAAATAAAATCCTGGAAACAGCCGAAATGGATAAACTAAACTGCTGTCGTATCAAAGCTGACTTATGGAGACCCTGTAGGGTTTACAAGGCAAGTGGCAATCAGAAGTGGGCCCTTTCTGCACCGAAAGCTTGCTCCAGAGAATCCGAGGAGCCCTTAAGGGCTGACTTCACAGTCCCGTGCATTCCCTCTGTATTGGTTTCCCCCCCCCTCTGGTTTATTTATTTGTGTATTCTGTATGCATTCTGCATCTACAAGCAAAACCTGCGTGTTTGGAGATAACTGGCTGCCAGCCCCTCCCTCCCTCCCTCCCTCCGTCCCTGATTCTGCAAAAAGAAAAGGGAAGGGAGGGGGAAATCCAAACCCACACATGCAAGACTGACACATTTGGGAGCAGGAAATCCCCTAGTCCTTTATATTCATCGATTCCTTCTTATGCTCTTTCTGGCTTTTTAAAAGTTTGCCTGAGCGGGAGGACATATCCTCTTTTGTCTTTGGAGAAGGAGGGAAAGAAAACAGAACAGGGAGGGAGCGTCGGCCTAAAGAGAGAGGCGGAAACGGGGGGAGGGGCAGTGGGCAGCACTTAAATACCCACAGAAACAATTCTACTTTAGAAAGGATTAGCGATTCGAAAGTGGATGAGAATAAAGAATCGCTGCAAAAGGAGTTTCGAGAACTGCGGGGCAACAGTGTGTTGGAAGCGGTCTGAGTGCAGATGCCTGTCAAACAAATGGAAAAACAAGAGAAACAAAGTGGACGTAGCAGCAGGAGGGAATGCAGGACAGAAGAATAGGATGCGCTCAGAGACCAAGGAAAAATAGGTAAAGTAAAGGTAAAGGTTCCCTTGCTCAAAAGCCAGTCGAGTCCGACTCTAGGGTTGCGGTGCTCATCTCCGTTTCAAAGCCGAAGAGCCAGCGTTTCAAAGCCGAAGAGCCAGTGGCCGGCATGACTAAACACCGAGGCGCACGGAACGCTGTTCCCTTCCCACCGAAGTGGTACCTATTTATCTACTATGCAATTTCTTGCTTTCGAACGGCTAGGTTGGCAGGAGCTGGAACTAGAGACGGGAGCTCACTCCGTCATGCGGCACACTCGGGTCTCGAACGGCTGAACTACTGACCTTCCACGGCCTGCAGTTCAGCGTCTTAGCCACTTGAGCCACCGCAGCAGAAAGGGCCATGGGTTTGTCATTGCCTGCCTCTGCGTAGCGACCCCAGATTTCCTTGGCGATCTCCCATCCAAAGACTGACCTGGGCCAACCCTGCTTAGTTTCTGAAAACTGACAAGATTATTCTAGTCTGGGCCATCCCGGTCAGGGCACCACGCAACCTACCGCCTACCATTCCCCAAGATAACACATTGGCTGTGATCACACAGGCAGTTTGGCCCGACACGGCCACTCCTCCCCTCCGGATCAAAGGGGCAGTCAGACACCCACATCTGCCAGGCATTCCCCAGCCGTACTTATCCCGTCATAGGATCCTTGGAGCCAGGTTTAAAAGGCACCACATCACAAGTGGTGTTTTCAGTTCTCCGCGCTGTCATTGCGCATGGCCAGATGTCTGAACGTGGGGGAGCACATGCAGAACAGATTTGGCAATCTGAACCTGCAGATCCGTTCTGCTACTAAAAAAAATCCTATGTGCGCATGTGCGCGCATGTGTGCACATGCACATGCATGCGCACACGTGGATTTTGGACATTTTTGGCAGCGTGCTCCATGGCTGAGGCACTGCAATAATGTGGATGCTTTACCCTGGGGTGTCTCTGTTGGTAACCCTCAGCAGGGTTTGCTGTGTGGCTGATACGACCCGCAACACTTTAAACCGGTTCAATTAGAGGCGGCACCAGGTTGTGCCAAGACGCCAGTGTGACCACAGCCACTTCCAAACAATGAGGGCCTTGTCTGACATTACCTCAGGTGTATGAACAATGCTGGGACAGGCCTCCTTGTCACACTGGTCCTTAAGTCGTACAGCAGTTGTCAATGCTGCCCCAACTCCAAAGTGAACGGCTCCTTCCAAAATGCCCAGGGAAATGCTGATCACCACATTGGGGGTCAGGAAGCAATTTTCTCTAGGCCAGTTTGGCCGGGGATCCTGGAGGGTTTTTTTGCCATCTTCTGGCCATGGAACAGCAGTCACTGCGGTGTGTGTGTGGGGAGGTATTTGTGAATTCCCTCCGTTGTGCAGGGGGTTGGACTAGATGACCCTGGAGGTCCCTTCCGGCTCTATGATTCTATGATTCACTCTGGACATATTATACCAGCACCCGTTGATGTGTTTCCTCGCATCCACTTGCTTCTTCCTAAGTATCTCTTCCTCGTAACAAACAAAGGGGAAATCCTGACTTTCTTCCATTTTACGGGAGGAGGAGGGACTTCAGGCATCTGCAAGAAGCACCCATTTGGAGAAAGTTGCCTTCATTTCAGGAGGATGCCTGGGTTGGGATTGCTTAACGTTTTTGTTGAACTTCCCAGCATGATATCACTGGACCCAGCCCCAATGGAAGCAATTTTGGGATGGGCGGGAACCTCTTGGGCTGCTCTTTTGTTATGAGAAAACATCCAATGCTAGGGGCAGGGGCAGGGGTCAACAGGAGATTTTGGACTGCTTTTCCTGTCACTTCCATGCAGCACACCTTCCCCCATCAGGGGATATTGGTCAGCATCACATGCCAATTGGTAACAGACCTATGAGACTCTGTGCAGGCTGTGAAACGGTGTTATTCAGTTTTTATTTTTCGTATGGCAGGGTCACACGCAACAAGCATGTAATCATTTTTAAAATTATGGAACCAAGTTGATACAAGGGGCATGCAGACCAGTTGGGCAATTCCCCCGAAATACTAATACCTACATTTTCAATCCAGTCAATCGCAGCTGGGGAGAGTTCAAAGAGCTCTGTCACATCTCCCCGGAAAGCATGATGCTCACATTCCCGTAACAGATGGGAAACAGTTTGGCGGGCTGCACCACAATCACATTCGGCTCCTGCTATTTTGCCCCATTTAAACAACAGGTCTGCACAGCTGCCAAAGCCTGTTCGTATTCTACTAGCCGTATAGTAAAGGTAAAGGTTCCCTTGCTCGAAAGCCAGTCGAGTCCGACTCTAGGGTTGCGGTGCTCATCTCTGTTTCAAAGCCGAAGAGCCAGCGCTGTCCGAAGACGTTTCCGTGGTCATGTGGCCGGCATGACTAAACACCAAGGCGCACAGAACGCTGTTACCTTCCCACCAAAGGGGTACCTATTTATCTACTTGCAATTTCTTGCTTTTGAACTGCTAGGTTGGCAGGAGCTGGAACGAGAGACAGGAGCTCACTCCATCATGCGGCACACTCGGGTCTCGAACTGCTGAACTACCGACCTTCCACAGCCTGCAGTTCAGCGTCTTAACCACTTGAGCTCCGTATAGTTATGGTTATATGTCAGGCCTACGGAATACCAGTCCCCCCAATATGGAGA